CCTTCCTGTGGCTTCATTAAGGATCATCTCTTTGGCTTTGGTGATAGGACATCAAGACATATTTAAATTGGAAATATTTGTCATTCATATTTATCACTATTCACAATATCACACTAACTGCGAAAGTGCTTGATAGTTAATAATTTATCTTCTCCAGACATTGGGAAGACTGGATAAAGAATCTGTGATACAGAAGTTTGCCAAGAGACAGGAGTAGATACACTTGGTGTCTAGGATGTCTTGTTCTGATGCATTGTGACATCTTCAATGAACTATTTTTCCTTTAGTGTCTGCCATGGGGAGGGCGGTTTATAAGTGTTTTTTATTTTTAAAAAAGATTTATTTATTTCCTTTTATGTCATTGATGTTTTGCCTACACGTATGTCTGTTTGAAGGTTCCAGATTCCTCCCCTGGAAGTGAAGTTACAGACACTTGTGAGCTGCCACGTGGGTGCTGGGAATTGAACCCTGGTCCTCTGAAGGAGCAGCCAATGTTCTTTCCTGTTGAGGTATCTCTCCAGCCCCAGCTTACAAGTCCTATGCCAGGTACTGAAAAACTACTTTAAGATTAATGAAGAGGAACAGAAATAAACACTGAGTGGTTGTTTTCAAAGACCTTGTGATAGCTAAAAGGAATGAAAGTGTTTCTACATCCCTAGAAAGTAATATTAATAGAAGGTAGCATATCTGCCTTGAACTTAACAGACTCAGACCTGAGTGTGCTTACAATGCTCATCAGGAAGGTAACCTCTGCTGGCTTTTACTCTATAACTGCTGCTGCTGCTTCCTCCTCCTCTGTCTTAAATCAGTAATTAATTGCATCCTATGTTAATAGAAGTGAGAATAACTTAAACATTATTAAATAACAGGTCTCCTGTTTCTGTCTGGACCATTGGTGAAAGCTTTGGTCTTCAAACACAGGGTCTAGAGTTGCTAATTATGTTAAAGATCTTTAAAATGCAAGACAATTACAAGACAATACAGGGGCTGAAGAGCTAGTTTAGTAGTTAAGAGCTCTTGTTGAGGACCTGGGTTTGGTTCACAGTTCTTAACTCCAGTTTTAGGGGATCCGATGTCTTCTGACCTCTAAGAACACCACCAGGCGTGCATATGGTGTACACACATTCAGCAAACAAAATATTCATACACATCAAATAAAATAAGTAAAACTAAATTAAAAGTTTAATTTAAAGCAGTACAAATCAGGAAAGCTGTTTTTTAGGGTTTTGAATTTCTCACATGTGTCGTTAGATCTGGAGTCGGGTAGTCAGAACAGCGAGTTTGTTACTTGGGTGTTTCTTCTTTTCTAACTCATCCACTCATTACTGTTAGTGCGTGTGTGGTGTGTGCCTGCCTGTGTTCACTGTGGCGTACGTGTGGAAGTCAGAGGAAGCTTTTAAGAACCGGTCCTCTCCTCTGCCTTGGTGAGGCAGGCTCTCTTGTTTCTTCCGTGCCACAAACTGCAAGCTAGGCGGTCTAGGACATTTCAGACGACTCTCCTGTCTCTAGCCCCATCTTGCTCAGGAATACTGTTCTCCAAGTTTCCTTTGAACAAGTGTGGACAGGCTGGTTTCTTAGTTCTTGATTCCTTTACTCCACCGAATGATGGCCCCCTTCTCTCTAAGTATATCATCTGTTCTCCTTCCCAGGAGATTTAGCAATGTCTACATGGGCAGGGAAGTTGTTTACCACTCTGCCTCTTTATTAATATCAACACCTACAGTCATGGATGAATGCCAGGAAGGAAAGCAAAACAAACAAACAAACCAAGAACAAAATCTATCGTCATATCTTCTGTGCTCCTTGGGCTTCTGATGCCCAAAGATCGTGGCAATTTTAAATTTCCTCAACATATCAAATCTACAAGTAGTCCCTTTTGCAGACGTAGATGGTCATAAAAAGAAAAGTGCTTTTTAACATATAAAATATTACAGTGTGCTTCTACACAGCCGCTGACTTTAACATATAAAATACTACAGTGTGCTTTTACACAGGGGCTGACTTTAGTTCTTTGTGTTTTATTAGCCACCATGTTAGAAATTCCAGGGAGTAGATCTGAGTCACTACAACCATCAGAGCAGCGCGAGTCTGCCCTGAGCCAGCTCCCCACAGGTTGTCATCACAACACATGATTCTAGCCAGTAAGGAAGACTAAAGCTTTGGAGGAAGGCAGAATTAGTTGAGAAATCAAGGTTGAATCTGGTAGGTCTTTCCAAGTGGGGTCCTCATTAGGATTGGGTAAGAATCAGCCAACAGCATTCGGGGGAGGGGGTGGGTAAATTGGGGGCGAGAGCAATGGGCGGAACCAGCAAGGGGAGGGCTAGAAGTGAGGGTTTATAGAACTCGACCTCATCAATCTTTTCTGATACTAACTGCTAGAGCCTTCAAGAAACCCATCCTAGCTGGAGGTGGCGGTGCACGCCTTTAATCCCACACTAGGGAGGCAGAGGCAGGCAGATCTCTGAGTTCTAGGCAAGCCCGATCTTCAAGAGCTAGTTCCAGTACAGGCTCCAAAGCTACAGAGAAGCTCTATCTCTCTCTTGGAAAAAAAATAAATAAAATAAAATTAAAAAAAAAAACAAAAACAAACAAACAAACAAAAAACAACAACAACAAAAAGTCCGTCCCTGCCATGAACATTCAGCATTCACTCAGGAAGGAGATTCCCTCAAATGAAGCTGGCACCAGAGTCAGAACCAGCATGGCCTTTGTAAAGTAGACCTGAAGGTGTGCTTTTCCTAGCCAGTGTGAGCTGGCTGTGGGCTGCCGTTGCCCTGCAGCAAGCTCAGACAGCCCAGTGGGGCAGCAGAGGGCACTGAAGTCTGTGGAATTACTGAGAACAACCTCCCTGCTTTGGGGGCAATAATTGAGAGGTACCTAGAGGTGAGAAGTCCTCAAGGCAGGAAACGACCACCTTTTAAAGTCCTACCTCTGTTTCTCAGACCACCGTCTCTTTTCCCTTTAACATGGAAGCAGGAAAATAGCCCGGATTCAGATTCCTGCAGAGGATCTCAATTCCATTAAAGCTCCTTCCCCAGCCAGGACAACATTGGTACTCACAGTTTCCCACAGGCACTGGAAGAGCCTGGGGTCAGGAGGGATGCTCAGCTGTGAAGAAGCCACCTGGGTGAAGCACCCAGGATGCTTAACATTTGAAAGGAGTGTGAACACTGTATTTACATATAAATGAAAATGGAAAGTTCTTACAGGTTAGGTTTCTGGAAGGTGTGTGCGGCGGGGCGCAGGGCTGGGATCTATTGTTTACTCGCGCTGTAAATCCTTTGAAATGTGTTAAAATGCTTCCCACTCATTATAAAGCTCCTGCCATCCCCCGGATTACGACTTTGATGTCACCAATCCTGCTTCAAAGGGTCCTTCGCAGGCTATTAATCACAGTTTAGCCTCTGAAGATATCAGCAGAGAAAAACATTTGGACGACTCCATGCTAGACTTGCTAAAACTTTGAGATCCCGAGCGTCTTGCAGATGCACACATCCTTGCTTTGACAAGTTCTCATTCTGTTACACAATCGAATGACTCTTTTAGGAAAAAATGCAGACTAATGTTTCCACACACAGGGGTTGGTGGATGGTAAATAGGGAAGGGAGGAGAGAGGCTAGAGGATCCTCGACCCTCAAAGGTAAGTCACAGGGATGAGCCTGGCGTTGGCGCTTGCTTTTCACTGACTGATGCTCGCAGAGGTCAATGGAGAGCTCGCCATCTTCCCTCACCTTCTACATGACGCTTGAAGACCTACAGGAGTTGCTTACGGCAAATGGTAATAGTGAGCCTGCCGGCCACTTGTCCAAGGGCCTGGGAGCAGAAGCCTTTCAGATTTTGGAGTTTCAACATTTTAGGTTTGGATTTGAGAATATTTGCATCTGCATAATGGGCTGTCTAGGGAATGGGACCCTAATCTAAACACAAGATTTAGGTTCCACATATATGTGTGTATGTACCTGCAGGTGATTTATACCGTATGTATATGTGTGTATATTATTAATGTATAGACACATAAATTTGTGATATAGGTTGTATATATACATACTATACCTATGTGCATATATACACATATCTTGGAGCTGTACCACCAGTTCCTATTTTATACAATATACGCAATAATTTTTTTTTGTTTTTTTAAGACAGGGTTTTTCTGCATAGCCCTGACTGTCCTGAATCTTGCTCTATAGACAAGGCTAGAATTGAAGTCACAGAGATCTGCCTGCCTCTGCCTCAAAAATGCTGGGATTAAAGGCGTGCACCACCATGCTCAGCTATAATATTTTATGTATGTGGCTGGGGATATAGTTCAGCACCAGGGCCTGGAGAGCCAACACTTAGCAGGTACAAGGCTCAATCTCTACTAGTCAAGGTACTGATAATTGTATAGCTTTGTGCATGGAACAAAGTTCCAGGTGGGGTGGGGCGGTTCCACTTAGGGCATCCTGTCAGTGCTCAAAAGTTTTGCCTCTGGGAACATTTGGAGATTGGGTCTTCATATTTAGGGATGCTCAACTGGTGTCATTAGATTACATTCATTGTCAAGATCAAAATTTCCTATGGAAATTTTACAGCCTCCAGTCTTTTATTTAATTTTTCAATATTCAACCAGTCAAAAGTTTTTGGCTTTCTGGTGTGTGTGTGTGTGTGTGTGTGTGTGTGTGTGTGTGTGTGTGTGATGTGTGTATATGAGCGATGGCACAGGAACGCCATGGCACACTTTCGGAGGTCAGAGGACAACTTGAAGTAGTCATAGTAACCAGTTTTCTCTTTCCGCCAATGTGGGACCCAGAGATTGAATCCAGGCTGTCACACAGCAAACACCTTTACCCACTGTACCATCCTGCCAGCTCAAATGTTTTCAATTTTCTTTTACTTCTTAGGATACTGATCAGAAAATTCAGAAAAATACAAGGACATAAAAGGAAAAATTATTCATAACTCAGTTCTTTAACTTTTTCTTCAATTTAAACATTTTTGTTTTGTCTTTTTTTGCTCAGGTAATTTGGCCCAAACAAGAGCTAGGATCACAGCATCTTCAAGATCTTTGCCTCCACATTTCAGTGCTGGGAAAGCCAAGGTGAGCAGCAGATTGGTACCACTGATGGGGCTGGGAGAGGATGCTGTCTCGGAGCTAATGACGGGGTGAGCAACCCTGCGTCTCTCTGTCTGTCCCTGACTGCACAGTGTGCACATGAGACTGGAAGTGTTCAGGAAACAAGGGCAGTTCTGAAAATTTAGAAAATTCGAATTGTGGGATCATTACAATCCTAATAGTCAGGAAAAATAATACCTAACATAGAGAAGAACAACTTGTGAATGAGGCCTTTCCAGGAAGAGATAAAGCAGTTTTCCCCGAGAGCATCGCCACCCCGCAGAAGGTAAGGAACCAGCTAGAATCGGCGAGGAGAAGAACCAAACCCACTCCTGCCCTCTAAAAGTGAGTTATGCAGGGCCACGCTAGGAGGGCTCATAAATATCCTCCCATAAAATAATACCTAACTGTTCTGCTCTTCCGTCTGAGGTTTAGACAGGCCCTCAAGGCCCACCTGACTGATGTCGACTGTGTAGACAGTCCAGTCCTCCCACGCGTCTGTGGTTGGGCTTTCGACAGGAAGCTTTAGCCGCCAGTGGTCAATCGTGATTCCAAATATTAACTCAGGTTGCTTGCAATGTACTGCTATGATCATTTTCATCCTGAAGTGCCTTCCAGTCAGCCCTGGTGGTTGCAGAGATGACAGGCAACGGGTTATACCATTGGGAGCTTCCCGATTGATTTGGTACCCAAACTGCTGCCTGCAGGAAGCAGGTGGGAACTGCGGTGATAGGAGCAAGCTGGGCATCAGCTCTGATAGTGGGGATGTTCTGGATGCTGGCCCGATTCTCTGTGGTACAGCTGGGTTTGCCAAGGTCTGCTATGGGTTGGTTGTGGAATGTCTTTCACAGGCTCATGAGTTTGGTCCCCAGCTGGGGACATTTTGGGAGGTTATGGAATCTTCAGGCAGGGGCCCTAGCAGGAGCGACTAGGTTGCTAGGGGATAGGCTTTGAATGTGAAAGACTGTCCTGGTTGCAGCCTGCTTCCTGATCCTGGAGATGAGACAGGCCCCCTCTTACTTCCACCATCAAGTGACTCCCTACCACCATCTCCCTCACTACGATAGACTCTATCCCCTCAAACCAGAAGTCAAAATCATTCCATCCAAAAGTTGCCTCTTTACAGTGTTTTATCACAGCAAACAAAACATAACTATACAGGTTCCATGTCTTTACAATTGCATGACCTCATGGGCCTTTGCCCAGATTCCTTAAATGTTACACATCTCTCCTTCTCCTCTGCCTCCTCCTCCCCTTTTAAAAATGTCTTTCAGAATGTGCACAGTTGTGTCCCAAATCCTCAACTCCCTAAGGTTGCTGACTAACCAGCCCTTCAGGTTTTGAAAACTGAAGGAACTGTCCACATCCTCAAGCCATTTCCCGTTTCTTCTGTCCCCAGGTAGACACCCTGGAGATGATCCGTCATCCAGAAGAAACCACCAACATGAAGAGACAAACCATGGCTTCTTACTTCCGGGTATGAAGGCTGCTGCTTCTCTGCAGGACTAGGGAATCGGTGTTTTGGATGGAGGAAGGTTTCTTAATGGAAAGCTGTCAGGGTCCAGCAAAGCTGGAGGTGTTTCAGAGGCAGAGTAGGACTGGGCTCATGGTGTGAGCTATGTGTGTGTGTGTGTGGGGGGGGCTCAGGCCTGGGAGTCCAGGACTTCATGAAAGCTGCAGTTCCTATGACAGCTCCTCCAGCAGGCTCTCAGTGCCTGCTTAGCTTCTCTGCTTGGATGTTTATGATTGCCCTTTCTTCCTTATCTTCTGTGCCTGTCCTTTTTTATCAGCAGTGTTCTTGTCCTCCTAGTAACCCTTGGTGTGTATGTGTGTGTGTGCATGTGTGCCTGTGTGCATCATATGTGTGTATGTTGTATATGTATGTGTATTGTATATGTGTGTATTACATATGTGGGTGTATTGTACATGTGTGTGTAGTCTGTGTGTGTTTCCCCATGAGATCTGGAAGCTCTTTGACTATGACATCATCCTCAAGATTCTCAGTGTCCCTATCAGAGGACAAGTCTCTAGCTTACAAATTTCAGAAATATAACCAACCAACTTTATATCTTCAAAGTTTGGGTCCCCAAAGGCAATAGCAGAAAGACAGCATACCCTGTTCAGCTGGGTAAGACCACTTCTGATGAGTAAGTGGAGTGATTCTGCTTTGTAATGAATGGCCTCTGAGAGCTCCAACAATGGACAACTCTGAGGGACACAGCCCTGTCCTGCAAGTGCCCCTCTGGTTGTTCATAGTTTTTCTTTTTCTCTGCAAAGTATGTAATAGTTGACCTTCGTCATTATCCTTTCCTCTAGTAATCTTGCCCTCTCCCTCCTCCTCCTCCTCCTCCTCCTCCTCCTCCTCCTCCTCCTCCTCTTTATTTCCCTTCCTCCCTCTCCCTCTGTGTCCTCCCTCATCCTTATAGCTAAGGTCAGTATGATTGGTTGTGAATTTCTAGGGGCTCTCAGGTGAAGGAAGCATATAGGAAGTCCCTACAATGGGTGTTTTCGTTAAGAGTATAGTATGCCATTATTTTGGATAGTAGATGGCATCCCAGGCTAACCTAGAGATACTGCTTTGGCACCAGATGTTTAAAGAGTGATTTCAACCTTCAGACAGCTGTAGGGAGAACTCATGTTGCCACCTCCTGTTTCTAATTTCATGTTCTTTCTTAATAATCTGTGCCGGCTTCACGAGTCTCCCTGTTGTGATGGCTCGCGGGCCCCTGTGAGTGGCGCCTCCTTTCTCTTCTCCCCGCTAGCACTCTCTGATGGATCTGCTCTCCAAAATGGTGGTGGGACAGCCCCACTTTGTGCGTTGCATTAAACCTAACGATGAACGCAAGGCCCTGCAGTTCTCCCAAGACAGAGTCCTGGCCCAGCTTCGCTCCACAGGGATCCTGGAGACAGTCAGCATCCGCAGGCAGGGCTACTCCCACCGAATCCTCTTTGAAGACTTTGTGAAAAGGTCAGTGTTCTTGGGGATACGTCCTGTGTGCTAGCTTCACCCTGTCTGCCTCTGTCCCCCGGGGAGGCAGATCCTTCTCCCCAAACCCCTCCCAGATCTTCCCTCTAAACATGTAATTGTTATTAATACCAGCTGTCATTTGCTTGCTTCAACAATGTGTTTTTATTGTGTTCCCACTACACTTCAGAAAACTTGAGAATGGTCAGGCCGATTTCTGATAACATTTTAAAAAAATGTTCATAAATATTTTACATTAAATTCTCGGGTCTCAAATTCTCTGGATATTCCACTGTAGTCCTTCCTAGTCGGGCCCATATTCTGGAGGACTTGGATGTGCCCAGTGCCCCCTCCACTCCCAGGGTCCGATGCATCACACCATGTCAGTGGTAATCAGTGCCCTCCTCCACCTAAGATATACAAATCCAGGGCATTTTAGGCACTGTCCTTAAATGTATGGTCTCGTTTGTCTATAGAACAGTCCAGTGAGCTAGCCTTGTTCTTTTCTCTGCTTTCAAGGCGAGGAACTTAGGACACACAAGTAACGTGACTTTCCCAACATCCCGTTTATTGGAAATGGGATCCCAAAACCCAGGGTTAGAAAGGGAAGAGCCAGGATTTGAACACCAGCAGGCCAGTTTCACCTTCCACTTTTTTTTTTTGTTTGTTTTTTTGTTTTTTGTTTTTGTTTTTTGTTTTTTGAGGCAGGTTTTCTCTGTAGCTTTGGGACCTGTCCTGGAACTAGCTCTTGTAGACCAAGCTGGCCTCGAACTCACAGAGATCGCCTGCCTCTGCCTCCCGAGTGCTGGGATTAGATGTGTGCGCCACCACCACCCGGCTTCACCTTCTACTTTTTAATCTCTCCAAACGAATGCCTTTGGTCCGTGTTTATTATGAAACATAAATCACAAGGGTGTGTGTGTGGCGGTTTCCAAACTCGGAAGCTGCCTTATCTAAGGAAGCTAGCGTGTTCTGTCCACAGCCGGTTCACGTGTACCTTGGTGTGTCACATAGTCACAGGCAGGACTTAACTGAAGAAATAACCAGCAACACTGCAGCAACAAAAGCCACCTTCGAGAAAGAAGCACAGCTATCAGAGGATGCCAGAGTGTAGCGAGAAAATCTCATAAACTCTGCCTTGCCCATACAGTCCTTTTATTCCCATCCTGATATTATATACATACATACGTGTGTGTGTGTGTGTGTGTAAAATACATATATTTAAATTTACCTTGAATATATACATGGTATCTTACTCCATCGAATCTTCCAAACTCTGCTAAGTTGCATGGAAAAGTAAAAGGGAAAAAAAATTCTTGCAAATAAGATCTTCTAAATTTAAAATAAGAATGGAAAAAATATTTAAATGTACCTGTAAGCCCTTTTTTTCTTTCTTCAGTCTTAAATTTGGAGCTGTACAAAGGGGGAGCAAAGATAATTTTAGCTCCTGAATGTAACTATTTTTAGCCACAAAGTACTGAATACATGAAAACATTTAAGAACACCAGTCAAATGCTAAACAGACTGGTCCCTCTTTGTTCATGATCAGAAAACCATTAGGCAGATATGAATGAGAGTTTCAAAATGTCAGGGAATCTGAGGGTATCAAAGATTTCCGAGCCAGCGAGCTAATTGGTATTTTGAACCTTTTGAACAACTGAACAACAAAATGGATGAGCTAGCAATTTCCCCCTTGATGTTATTCAGCAAATAGGAGCTTCTTATCTCTCCTCTCAGAGTGCTGTTTTGTCAACTCTTAGCAGGAAATAGGCAGACAAAATAATCAAAGGCAGGGAACAGAGGCAGGAGGCTTATCAAACAGAGGTAAATAAAAGGTAAATGCTTCCTTAAGTTTGCTCTCTTATTCTTCCTGTTTTCTGATATTCGAGCCTGAGACCTGAAAGGTCCTGTTTCTCCTGGTTATGTTGTGCCCTTCTGGAACCAGGACCTTCATCCGGCTAGCCCTGCATCACTCCAATCTTTGCAGGCAGTAACACCTAAGCTCTCCCTTGCTGGGTCCTCTTTGAATTTCCTGGCAGAGTGCCTTGGAACAGTCTTGTCTTCTCCCATGGATGGCCTTTGAGGAAAGGGGAGCCATCCACACCGGCTCACCCACAGAGCCAAGTGAGTTGGACATCTTCACAGGCTTTCTGGAAGCCAGGCTGTTGAAGATGTCACAGAACAAAGTGTGGCTTCCTTGTTTCCTGGTCAGTGGACTCAGAGGCAGGTTTCCTAAGAAGGTCGGCCCTGTGTGGACACACCGGCCTGCAGGTGTTGAGTGTACACTGGCAAAAAAAAAGGGGGGGGGGTCAAAGCTAATGGTTTGTTTACTCCAGAAAACCATGCACTTTAATAAAGAGATCCGAGCTCTAGTCTCCTTTTGGACATATTTGGCAAGTAATCCAACACAATAAAATCTGTTCTCATCTGCCTGGCAAGAAGGCGTGCTGTGCCAGATGATGTCACACCGCTTGCAGTCACCTCTCCTGAGTAGGAGGCCTGTACCCACCAGGACTCAGTTCCCAGTGGCTGTTGAGTCAATACACAAGGAAGCTCTTGTTTTCTCCCATAGCACTGGGGTTAAACTCTCAGTACCTAAGTAGTGGGTCACAACCATCTGTAACTCCAGTCCCAGAGGATCTGGCACCCTCCTCTGACCTGCATGAGCACAGGCATGCCTGTGATGCACAAACATACATGCAAGCAAAATATCCATACATGAAATAAGCGATACTAATAGCTTTTTTTTTTAATAAATTGGCTTTATCAACTGACACACTCCCATCAGCAGTTTTATGAGGAAACCAGTTTAACGTTGTCCTCATCAATGCTCACCATTGTTTGTCTTTCCAGTTTAGCCATTCTAGTGAGTGTGGAGTAGTTTCCCCTTAGAGTCTGACTTGCATTTCTGCGGTGGTTAATGGCACAAAGCATCTCTTCATGTACGCCTTGCTCATTTGTAGGGCCTGTGTGAAGAAATGTTTATTTAAGCCTTTTCCCCATGTTCCACTATTATTTGTATGTGTTCTGGATTCTAGTCCCTTAGACATAAAAACATGTCATTCACAATAATTTTCTTCCATTTTCCCTGTGATCTTTTAAATTTTTCCTTTTCCTTCCAAGTTCTTCTCCCTTTCTTTCACCTCTTGCTCCTCCTCTTTCTTTTTGAGACAGAGTTTCACTATGTAGCCCTGGCTGGCCTGAAACTTGCTATGTAGATCAGACTGGACTTGAACTCACAGAAATCCACCTGCCTCGTTCCAAGTGCTGGGATTAAAGCCATCTGCCACCACACCCAGGGTCTTTTCAATTTCTTGATAGGTTCACTTGAAGCATAGCGTTTTTAATTTGGACGAAGTTCCATGCTTTCTTTCATGGTTTGTGCTCTTGGTGCCCTAATTAAACAACCACACAATCCAAGATTACAGAGATTTACCCATGTTTCTTTTTCTAATAACTATATAATTTGAGTGCTCCTATTTTATACCAACAATCCATCTTGCAATATTGTCTGTGTATGTATTAGGTAGGGGTCTTACTTCATCCTTTTGAGTGTGGCCATCAGCTGTTCCAACATCATTGTTTTGGCATCTTGGTTGAACCAAGAAACCATTTTTGGGTTTCTTTGGGAGCCTGAATTCCGTTTCATTTTATAAGCATTTTTGAACTCCTGTCTACCCTTCTACCACAGCATCCTGAGTTTTTTGCCTGTTTCACTCCCTGAGACGCCAGCATGGCGTTTATCTAAAATTCCACTGGAAGCAAGCTGCTTCTTCTGCTAACTCGACCATCAAGACCCCACTGGGGAAGCGTCAGCCCCACTGCCTGGTGAAAGGGAGTCTTCCTGCATTGCTGCTCTGCTTTCTCAGTCACTTCTTTCATCCTTCACCTCTCGGATCAACCTCCAATCAAATCGGAACTAGCTGAGTGTCCAGTCTGGCCCCACTTGTCCATACATTCCTGAGACTGGGAGAACGGATTAAGGAAAGAAATAGACAAGAGACAGAAGGTAGAGTTGGGAGGGCTTCCAGTGAATACTGTAACAAAAAGCCCTGACTTTATTTCTCACAGTCCTTATATGCCCCAATCTAAAGGGGAGGGCACAAGACTTCTATAATACAAAGAACAAGCAAGCATAATTACCTTCTTACGTCTCAAAACACCTGGTAACCATGCCTTAAGTCAAACATCCTGTTATCTGGCCTTTGAGGCGCAAAGCTTCCAGTAGCCACACCTGCTGTTCATCCTTAAGGAACACAAATAGGTTTGAACTCTCTGACCTCTAGTCAAGATAGAATGGATCCAAAACTGTGGGCCCTTGCAGTTGAGACTTCTCAAAATACCTTATCCTGCTCCATTCTTTGGTGTCTTTACCACATTGCTGAGTCCTCAGTCACCTGGGTAAGCTGATTCCTTGGGACTTTAAGTAGCATTGTCGTCTCTGTGGTGCTCAGTGTAACTTCCCCATGCTGGGTTAGACGTCCCTAGGTGCACTTATTACCGAACACTCCCTTCAACCCTAACCACCTGGGAGGCACAGCCATGGCTATGTCTGTCCTGCCCAATGTAGTACAGTTAAGGCTAGAAATATTTTAAAAATATTTGTGGAGTTGAATAAAAATCTCACTGTAGCTGGAGGTTCCTCATCCTACCTGGTCCTACAGACACTTCCAAAATAACCACTCAGATGTTTAATATTAATTGCAAACTGTTTGACCTATTAGCTCAGGCTTATTATTAACCAGCTCTTATCCCTAAATTAACTAATTTCTGATACTCTATATTTCACCACAAGGCTCTTGCTTCCACGGCAGTGGCTGATGTCTCTCCTCTACTCCACCTTCTTTCTCCCTGTATTCAGTTTGGCTTTCCTGCCTAGCTATATTCTGCCCTATCATAGGCCAAAGTAGCTTTATTCATCAGCCAATAAAAGCAACACATATTCACAGCATACAGAAGGGCATCCACCATCATTTCACCTCTCCTCTATTTTACCATTTCTG